AAAGTGCTGGGATTACAGGTGCGAGCCACGGCGCCCGGCCTCACGAAATTTTAAAGTTGAAACATATTTTTAAATACTATCAATAGTAATAAAAATTTTTTTTCATCAACCATGCCAGAAGAAAACTGAATTATCTTTCTGCTCTCTCTATAAAAAACTGACAAAATCATTATAAAGAATCAATCAAAGAGCATGCTGCCAGAAAAAGTAAAAAAATACTATATGAATGTGCTAGGCAGTTAATTAATATAAATTACTATGTTATTTTTTCTGGATTTTAAATGATTTTTGATTTGCCAACTCTTTAATTTGCAATTTGTTATGATTCATCTTCTCATTTTAAAAATAAATTTTCAAGTATGTATCTAATTTTGCATTTATACTTTTATCTTTTTTTCTTTTGTGGGAGACCCTGCCTCCAACCAATGTGAGCTTCAGGACCCATAAAATTGGATTCACCTCTGTCCACAGCAATTTTTTTTGTTTTTTGTTTGTTTGTTTGTTTGTTTGTTTTTTGAGACGGAGTCTCACTCTGTTGCCCAGGCTGGAGTGTGATCTCCGCTCACTGCAACCTCTGCCTCCCAGGTCCAAGCGATTCTCCTGCCTCAGTCTCCCGAGTAGCTGGGATTACAGGAGCCCGCCAGTATGCCCGGCTAATATTTTCTATTTTTAGTAGAGACGGGGTTTCATCGTGTTAGCCCGGATGGTCTCCATCTCCTGACCTCGTTATCTGCCCGCCTAGGCCTGCTAAAGTGCTGGGATTACAGGCGTGAGCCACCGCGCCCGGCCAGCACTGGTATTTTATTACGGTAGTGTTGAATAATAATAATAACAACAACAACAGCAACAACAACAACAACAATGGCAGTACCTTTCCTAACAGTTTGCTATGCATCAGCACTGTCCCAGGGCTTTACATGAGTTATCTCATTTACTCCTCTACGACTATGTTGTCTCCATTTCACAGGTGAAGGAACTGAAGTCCCAGAAATGTTAGGCAACCTGCCCACCGTTATTCAGCTGGGAGACTGCAAAGCTTGTTTCCTCTTTCTGTCTCCCTCACCTTCCCTGACTCCAGAGGGAAGAGCAATGTCCCACTTACTACGACATGTCTTACACAGGGTGCAGCAAAGTCTCAGAAAGGGTTGAGTGACTTGCTGGGCCATGCACAGCAGGCAAACGGCAGCGTTAGACCTCCAGGTCTCAGGGTTTTCCCTCCCACACCAGCAAACACCGACCTCGGCCCAGGCCCCATTGCAGCCGCTGCCTGCCGGCGGACTGAGGCCCTTTGTGGAGGGGATGCTCGGCAGGTGTGACCCAATGGCGGCCTGGGGCGGGGCAAGGGGACAGGGACGCAGACTGGAGTCTCGCAGAGGAGATGCCTTCAGAACTCCGGCGTCTCCAGGGGCAGCGGCAGGGGCTCAGCCTCCCCCCATTTCATTAACTGGAAAATAAACTAGAGCCACAAAGGGCTGAGGGAAGCGGAGGGCCCGGGCCCAGCTGCCGCGGGGTCGAGGGGCGAGGGGCGAGGGACGAGGCGCCGGTGGCGAAAGCAGGGGAGGAGGCGCCGCCCGCTGAGGCAGCCGCAAATCCCTGGCCCGCAGCCCCCAGACTGCAGCCCCTCCCCAGCCTCAGATCCGCCCACCCCCTGCCCCCAGTTAGCACCGAGGAGCCCGGGGAGCCAGTGGACTTCCCGGAGCAAGAGGGAATTTTTCCCCTCGGAATCACTCCACCCAGCTCTGTGGACACAATGGGCCGTCAGATGGTGGGGAGGGCCGGGGGCAGTTCTACATCCTCCTTGGAGCCAAACCTTCTGCTCCCTGAACAGAACAGAGGCACATTGAGAGTGTGGCCCTGGGGAAAATGGGCTGGCCCAGGGGAACATGAGATTTTAAGAGAGAGAAATGAGACTTTTTGTCTTCTGCACCCCTTCCCCCCATCATACACAAAGTTCCTAGCTCTTTTTTTTTTTTTGGGGGGGGGGGGACTAAGTCTAGCTCTGTCACCAAGCTAGAGTGCAGAGGCGCGATCTTGGCTCACTGCAACCTCCGCTTCCCAGGTTCAAGCGATTCTTCAGCCTCAGCCTCCCGAGTAGCTAGGACTACAGGGGCGCGCCACCACGCCCAGCTAATTTTTGTATTTTTTTTAAGTAGAGACGGGGTTCATTATGTTGGCCAGGATGGTCTCCATCTCTTGACCTCGTGATCCGGCTACCTTGGCCTTCCAAAGTGCTGGGATTACAGGCGTGAGGCACTGCGCCCGACCCCTAGCTCCTCTTTTCAAAGCTCCCACCCTTTTCATTTTGTCACAGGATCCCCTGAGCTGTGCTTCCCCAGTGCCATCCCAATACCACCCACCTCTGTCCTCCAAGCTCACCCCTTTCCTAGCAGAGCAGTTTCCACTGCCCTCCAGTTCCCTTCTGTATTATACTAATTTTCTAGGGCTACCATAACAAAGTAGCACAGACTGGGTAGCTTAAACAACAGTAGTGACTGGGCACCATGGCTGGTGCCTGTAATCCCAGCACTTTGGGAGGCCGAGGTAGGTGGATCACGTGAGGTCAGGAGTTCGAGACCAGCCTGGCTAACATGGTGAAACCCCGTCTCTACTAAAAATACAAAAAAATTAGCTGGGTGTGGTGGCAGGCGCCTATAATCCCTGCTACTTGGGAGGCTGAGGCAGGATAATCACTTGAACCCGGGAGGTGGAGGTTGCAGTCAGCTATCATGTCATTGAACACCAGCCTGGGTGGCAGAGCGAGACTCTGTCTCAAAAAAACAAAAACAAACAAACAAATAGTTGATTTTCCCCTAGCTCTGGAGGCTGGAAGTTAGTTCCAGGTCAAGGTGTTCGCAAGGCTAGTTCCTTCTGAGGCCTCCTTGACTTATAGGCTGCCTCTTCTCTCTGTGTCCTCATATGGTCTTCCCTGTATGCATACCTGTGTCCTCATTTCCTCTTCTTATAAGAACATCGGTTAGATTAGGACCCGCTTTAATGACCTCATTTTAACTTAAAGACCCTATCCCCAAATATTGTCAATTCTGAGATAGTAGAGTTAGGACTTCAACACATGAATTCTGGGAGACCCAATTCAGCCCATAACACCTTATATGTCTAGACAGTCTGCCACCAAATCCTGCAGGTCACAGGATCACCTTAGACTGGATGCCGTGACATGCACCAACACACCCTAACACCTTTCCCACTTTTCCCTCCGTATTCAGGCCACCTCAGAACTACCTGGCCACACAGGCCCATGTAAGCTGGCAAATATAACCTAGCACACAGGGTTACCAACCTCCTGCTCCCAAGAGCAAAGCTGGCCTCTGGTTTCTTACTCTGTGATTTGGGGGCTGCCCATTGTAGAATCATAGCTCTTCAGTGTCTTTGGTCCTTTAGAAATCTCTTCCCATCCCCCTCCTGCCCCCAGTGTTTCAGTGCCTTTAAATCATATATTTTGACTAGTTCAAAGTTTCCAAAAAATGACACAAAACTGAATACATCGAGGAATTTTCTTCTCACCACTTCCACCTACCCTGTTTCTTCCTCAACCCCATCCCTTATAGGGAGTAGGTTTAATTAGCTTCTGCTGTGTCTTCCCAGTGTTTCTTTATGCAGACAGAAGCCCACGCAAATGCATATGTGTATATTCCTCCTTTCTTATACAAATGGTAGTATTCACTGATTTACCCTTTGCATTTTTCACTTAACCATATATCCAGGAGGTTTCCCCATTTCTATAGAGATGGCTTCACTTTTTTCTGTAACAAGTGCATAGTATTTCATTATGTGGATATAAAATGATTTATTTAACCAATCCCCTGTAGACTTGGGTTGTTTCCTATGCCTGTCCTCTTAAGAGGAGTATCTTGAAAACTTTAATCCACCAAGGTTTCCTAACACCTGGGAAATATCAGGGCCTGGAGGGAAGGCAGAAGGGACAGCAGAAAGGATCCAAAAGTACAGGAGATGTGGTCTCTGGCACTGAGTGTTTCACATTAATGGGAAAGATATGGCTGCTCTGCTCTGAGGAGTCTTCTGTATGAAAAAGATCCCACAGAAACTCAGACCAGGCACATTTCTTGGATACTGCTTTACTGGTTCAAGACCTCTGGGACTGGTGATATCGCTGAGTTAAAGGGCTAAGATTAGAAGTAAACCTTAAAGGCCAATTTTTTTTTTCCTGTTTGTATTAGTTATCACTGCTGTGTAACAAAATGTCACAAATATAGCAGCTTAAAACAATATACATTTACTTGCTCACAGTTTTGTAGGTCAAAAATTTGGGCAGAAAGAAAGACATGGAAGCTGGAATACGGCAATGGGGTGAGGGGAGGTAGGCAATAAGTAGCCTGGTGGTCTAGAACTCATTATGTAGGGAGAAAGGGGAAGTAGTGGTGCGATCTGAGCTCACTGCAACCTCCACCGCCCTGGTTCTCCTGTCTCAACCTCCCAAGTAGCTGGGACTACAGGTGGGCACTATCACACCTGGCTAATTTTTGTATTTTTAATAGAGATGGAGTTTCACTCTCTTGGCTAGGCTGGTCTCAAACTCCTGACCTTAAGTGACCCTCCTGCCTCGGCCTCCCAATGTGCTGGGATTACAGGCATGACCACCATGCCCAGCCTCTAAAATGTATCTTTTTCAGTGCTAATGATTGGAATGATGAAACATTCATTCTGTCTTCGTACCCTTTCCCTGTACCTAGCACAGTGCAAGGCAAAAAAGCAGACATTTAATAAATATTCGTGGAATTTAAATCACTGATGAGGAGCAAAAGAGAAGGCAGAACTGTGGGTATAGATTCAGGAAGGGAGGAGGAGCTGGGATACAGGCCAGGGCTGGGCCTATGGGGATGGGCTAGGGGGACAAAGAGCCACCCACCATCAGTACCCCAGCCTGAGCAGCCTTGGCAGCCAAGCCCAGTCTAAGTAGCACTTTCTTGCTAAGTGTTCTGTGGGGAGGTGTAATGTGTCTCTATTTAAAATTAATTTTTCAGAATTGGAAGCCCTACTCTGAAAGGCAGTGCTCCCTTGGTGGCTTCTGGCAGGATTGGAAAGCCATAACTTTGGAGAGAAACACAATAAACCAGAAATTTCCTCCCAGGTGAGCAAGAAACTGCCTCTCTCCTTCTGAACAGAGCATTTTCCAGAACTTTGCTCATCAAGTAGCTGGTTTTTGAGTCATTTCTTCTGTTTGTAAGTGAACCGCATTCTAGTCAACTGTCTGTTCTTCTCTCTGATGGATGGGACAGAGGCCTAGGCAATCAACATATAAGAGAGAACGCAGAAGTAATTTCTCTCTGACTAGGGGCTATGTTTCTGTATTTACATGTGAATGGAGTAGCGTCTGATGTTGGAAAATGTGCAGTGCTTGCTGCCAATAAAGAAACACGACTCTGTGGTGGACTTTAGAGAACTTGCTCAGTTCAACAAATGTTTACAAAGGATGTAGGTGCTAAAACCACAAAGACTCATTCATTCATTCATTCATTCATTCAACCAATATTTATTGAGTGCCTACTACATGCTAAGTGTTGTACTAGGCACAGAAGAAACAGCAGTGATAAAAGTAGAATCCCCCAAATCTCTGCCTTTACGAAAGGGAAATAAACAGTCAATATTATAAATAAGTAAAATGCATATTATGTTAGGTAATGATAAGTACTAAGGGGACTAAGAAGAAAGTGGGGAAATAACATATTGGGAGGTGGGAAGCGTTTACCAGGAAAAGACTTACTGAAAAGGTGACATTTAATAACAACTTAAAGGAGGTGAGGGAGTTAGACATCCAGAAATCTGGAGAAAGTATTCTAGAGAGGCCTCAGCAAATGTGAAGGCTGTGAGGTAGGAGCACATTTAATGTGTTTGAGTAACAGCAAAGACGTGGAGGTGTAACTCAAGCCCAGAGGATGAGGAGAATAGTAAATGATCAGAATGGCAGTGGTTAGAACGGCAATTAACAGCTGTAGAGGTCACTGTAGAGATCTGGGCTTTTCTGATTTTTTAAGACAAAGTCTTGCTCTGTTGCCAGGGCTGGAGTGCAGTGGTACCATCTCTGCTTACTGCAACCTCCGCCTCCTGGGTTCAAGCGATTCTCATGCCTCAGCCTCCTGAATAGCTGGGTTTACAGGCACGTGTTACCATGCCTGGCTAATTTTTGTATTTTTAGTAGAAATGGGGTTTCGCCATGTTGGCCAGGCTGGTCTTTAACTCCTGACCTCAGGTCATCCACCTGCCTTGGCCTCCCAAAGTGCTGGGATTATAGGAGTGAGCCACTGCTCCTGGCCGACTCTGGGCTTTTAATACCAATAAGATGTGCTACCAATGGAAGGTTTGAGCAGAGGGATGATTGCAATATGGCCTGACTTATGCTTTAACAGAAACACTTTGGCTGCCATGTCAAGGATAGGGGGCAAAGGGAAAGGGGCAAAGGCAGAGAGCCATGGGGGGGACTACTCAACCATCCGTGAAGAGTGGCTTGAGTTAAGATGAGAGCGGGGGTCTGAATTTCTCTTGAAGACAGTATGGACATGATTTATTGATGATTAGACGTGAGGTATGAGAAGAGCAAAGTTGAGGATGATGCCTGCAATCTCAGCCTGCACAACTGGAAGGATGAAGGCAGTGCCATCTGTTGTGACAGAAAAGAAAGCAGTAGGAGCAGGTGGGGGCATGAGGAAAGAACAGTAACTTGTTTTTTGACATATTCAGTTTGAGGTATCTCTTAGACACCCAAGTGGAGAAAGTTACTATATAGTTGGATAACAGAATGTAGAATTCAGGAAAGAATATTCTGAGCAGACTTGGGAGTCATTAGCATATAGATGGTATTTAAAGCCATGAGACTGAATGAGATCACCTAAGATGTGAGTGAGTGTGGATAAGAAAAGAGAAGAGGTCTGGGGATTGAAATTGGGGGCGCTCCAATCTTTGGAGGTCAGGGAGAAAAGAAGGAACCAGCAAAGGAGACATTGAAGGAGAGTGGAGGCAAACTCAGGGGAGGGTGGTGTTCTGGAAACCAAGGGGAGAAAGAATTTCAATGGGAAAAGAGTGGTCAGCTGTGTCAAAGACTGCAACCTTCCTGGTGGGGTAGTGGGGGTTAAGGCCTGCCTGAAGTGGGTTCGAAAAAGAATGTGAGGAAAGACATGAGAAACAATGAGTATGGACAATGGTGTGAGACATTATGCTGTATAAAGAAGGAAATAAAAGGGTGGTAACTACAGAGGGAAGTGGGGCCAAGATTTTTTCTTTAAGATTGGAGAAATAAGGATGAATATGGTATAGTCTGTTCTCAAGTTGCCATAAGTCTAGCGGGAGACAGACACACAGGCAGAAGTGATGGCATAGAGCTGTTTACAGGGGTCTGTATCAGTGCACCCCAGAGAGAATTTAAACTCTAGGCTAATTTGGATGTTTTGCTCCATCCGAATCTTATGTTGAAATGTTGGAGGCCAGGTGTGGTGGCTCATACCTGTAACCCCAGCACTTTCGGAGGCTGAGGCAGGCAGATCACAATGTCAAGAGATCGAGACCATCCTAGGCAACATGGTGAAACCCCATCTCTACTAAAAATACAAAAAAATTAGCCTGGCATGATGGCACATGCCTGTAGCCCCAACTACTCAGGAGACTGAGGGAGGAGAATTGCTTGAACCCAAGAGGCGGAGGCTGCAGTGAGCCGAGATCGTGCCACTGCACTCCAGCCTGAGTGACAGAGCAAGACTTTGTCTCAAAAAAAAAAAAAAAAAAAAAAAAAAGAAATGTTGGAGGTGGGCCTAGTGGGAGGTGTTTGAATCTTGGGAGTGGATCCTTCATGAATGACTTGGTGCTGTCCTTGCAGTAATGAGTGAGTTCTCCTTCTATTAGTTTACATAACATCTGGTTGTTTCAAAGAACCCAGCACCTCCTCCCTTCTATATTGCTCCCTTTCTTGCCATGTGATACACTGGCTTCCACTTTGCCTTCCACCATGATTGGAAGACTCTTGAGGCCTTACCAGAAGCAGATGCTGCCACCATGCTTCTTATACAGCCCACAGAACTGTGAGCCAAAAGATACCTCTTTTCTTTAATGAATTACCCAGCCTCAGGTTATTTCTTTATAGCAATGCAAAATGGACTAACAAAAAAATTGGTACCAAAAAGTAGGGCATTGCTATAAAGATACTTGAAAATGTGGAAGCAGTTTTGGAACTGGGTAACAGGCAGAGGTTGGAAGAGTTTGGAGGGCTCAGAAGAAGACAGGAAGATGAGAGGGAGTTTGGAACATCTTAGAGATTTGTTAAGTGGTTTTGACCAAAATGCTGATAGAAATATGGAAAGTGAAGGCCAGGCTGATGAGGTCTCATAGGGATAAGGAATTTATTGAGAATTAGAGCAAAGGTCACCCTTGTTATGCCTTAAAGAACTTGGCTGCATTGTGTCTGGGCCTAGGAGCGGGGGAAAGTTGAACTTAAGAGTGATGACCTAGGGTATCTGGCAGAATTTCTAAGCAGCAAAGCATTCAAGATGCACATGGCTACTTCTAACAGCCTATTATCAGATGTGAGAATAAAATAATGACTTAAAATTGGAAGTTATCATTAAAAGGGATGCAGAGCATAAAACTTCTGAAAATTTACAACCTGGTTGGATGGTAGAGAAGGAAAGAGCATTTTCAGAAGAGGAATATAAGCTGGCTGTGGAGTAACCACTTGCTAGAGGGATTAGCATGACTAAAAGGGAATCAAGTGCTAATATCCAAGACAATGGGAAAAAGGCCTCAGAGGCATTTCTGAAACCTTTAAGGCAGCCCCTCCTATCACAGGCCCAGTGGCCTAGGAGGAAAGAATGGTTTTGGGCACCAGGCCCAGAGCCCTGCTGCTCTCTGTAGCCTCAGAATACTGTCCCCACATCCTGGTCACTCAAACTCCAGCCTTGGCTCAAAGGGGCCAAGATGCAGCTCAGGCTGCCGCTTTGGAGAATGCCACTATAAGACCTGGTAGCTTCCACATGGTGTTAAGCCTGCAGGCATGCAAAGTGCAAGAATGAAGGAGTCTTGGCAGCTCCTGCGTAGATTCCAGAGGATGTATTAGAAAGCTTGTGTGCCCAGACAGAAGCCTGTTGCAGGGACAGAGCCCCCACAGAGAGACTTTACTAGGGCAGTGCCACGGGGAAATGTGGGATTGGAGCCCTGACACAGAGTTCGCATTAGGGCACTGCCTAGTGGAGCTGTGGGAAGGAGGCCACTGTCCTCCAGACCCATGAATGGGAGAGCCAGTGGCAGCATGCACCCTGAATCTGAAAAAGCCAGACACTTAACTCCAACCTGTGAGAGCAGCCACAGGGCCTGCACTCTGCAAAACCACAGTGTCCAAGGCCTTGAGAGCCCACTTCTTGCATCAATGTGCACAGGATGCAGGACATGGAGTCAAAGATTGTTTTGGAGCTTTAAGAGGTAAGGATTGCCCTGATGGGTTTCAGACTCCTGTGGTGCCTGTTGTCCCTTTCTTTTGGCTGGTATCTCCCTTTCAGAGTGGAATGTTTACCCAATACTGGTATCACCATTGTATCTTGGAAGTAAATAGCTTGTTTTTGATTTTACAGACTCATAAGTAGAAGGAAACTGCCTTGAGTCTCAGATGAGACTTTGGACTTTTGATTGAGTGGGTGCTGGAATGAGCTAAGACTTTTGGGGACTATTGGGAAAAGATGATTGTATTTTGCAATGTGAGAATACCATGAAATTTGGGGAGCCAGGGTCCAAAAGATATGATTTGGATGTTTTGTCCCCTCCAAATCTCATGGTGAAATGTGACCTATAATGTTGAAGGTGGGCCTGGTGGGAGGTGTCTCAGTCATGAAGGCAGATCCTTCATAAATGGCATGATACTGTCCTTGTGGCAATGAGCGAGTTCTCATTCTATGAGTTCACATGAGACCTGGTTGTTTCAAAGAGCCTGGCACTCTATCCCCTCTCTCTCTCTTGCTCCTTCTCTTGCCATGTGATATACTGACTTCCCTTTGCTTTCCACCATGATTGGAAGTTCCTGGGGTCTTACCAGGAGCAGTTACCAGTACCATGCTTCTTATACAATCTGCAGAACCATGAGTCCAAATATACCTCTTTTCTTTATATATTACCCAGCCTCAGGTATTCCTTTATAGCCATGTGAAATGGACTAACGCAAATACTTTGAAAAGATAAGTACTAAACCAAGTCTTGAAAGATAAGTGATTTTTATCCAGGGGAAGAAAGAAGGGAACGGCATTTCAGGTAGAAGGGAGAATATAAATCAAATCCTGGAAGCCTGAAACAGCTTGTTGTGTGTGGAAATCACAAAGAGAGCAGCATTTCTCTTCTAGAACTGAACTGCCTGGGTGTGACTCCCAGACTCTCTGCAAGATATGTGATTTTGATCACATTACTAAACCACTATGTGAATCAGTTTCCTCAATCATAAAGTGGGGAATATCATAGTGTCTGCCTCATAGGGTTGTCATGAGAAACAAATCAATTCATGTGAAGTGCTTGGGACAGTGTCTGGCACATTGTATATGCTCAAGAAATGATAGCATTTCTTATCATTGGGTGCAGATGATGAGGCAGGGATTACATGGAATATGAGATTGAAAATATAATTAGCTGGGTGTAGAAGGTCTTGTATGCCATACCCAGGGTTTTGACTTTGTCCTGGGGATACTGGGAGCCACTGCAGGATTGTAGGCTAAGGAACAATATAATGGGATTTGGTATTTCAAGTGGCTCACTATGGCCACCTAGTGGAGGATGGTCATGGGGAAGAAATTTGGAGGCAGGCTTTAGAAGACCTGGCTGTATATTCTGGCTCAACACTTACCAGTGTGTGAATCATTTCCTTCTTTGAGCCTCAATTTAATAACCTGGGAAGTAGGAATTGTAAAACATATTCAAAGGGCTGTGGTGAGGAGTAAGTTATACAACAGAATGAACGGCCCTAACCCAGTGCATGACACATATAAATAGGTTTGCAACGAATATTTGTTTTGATTTTAATATCAAAAGTCTTACAAGAGAAGAGCAAAAAGTCTCACAGTTTCCCCATCTTTATGCTCTGTCCCACCAGGCCAGCTCTCCTTGCTTCTATAAATGTGCTAGAAACAGTTGAACTGGCTCACAGACCTTCATGGTAAGTATCATCCTTACTCTCTCCTGCTTCACTCTTCTCACCTCCATAGCTGTCCAGTTCACCCTGACTCAGTGGTCAGAACCCTGATCTCTTTCTAAAGCGTCTGCCAGATCCAAGGCTAAGACCACATCCACCAGGCTGGAAAGTGGGTAAGGAAAGCTTCTGATGTAACAAGTCTTTTCTTTGTCTGCTGATTGTCATCAGAGAGCTGTTGTTTTTCAATTGACCCTCACCACATTCAACACCTGTTGTTTTACACAATCATTTTGCAACACCTCTGTCTTATCTCCCCTAATAGTCTGTACCTTTCTAGAAGGCACAGACTGCACAGTAAACATGTCTTAGGACCTGCCTCTTGCTCACGGCAGAGGCTTGCCGGGGAATGAATCGAATGAGGAGTTGACTGATGCTCACGCAGTGCTGAAAGCCTGCCAAGCTGTGAATAAGTGTGAGTTGGTTTGATTATGAAAGATGGGAAATCATGTCTTCTTTTCCAGAGTGGAACATAAAACTTCCCAGCCTCCTCAGGCTTGCTCAGGCAGAGCGGGCAGAGCTGTGACCCGTGGGCCCAGAACTGTACCCTTGATAATCTAAATGACAATCAGCTTATTAAGTCTCACAGTCCCCTGTGCAAGCTGATGAAGGACAGTGGGCTCCTCAGTGGTCAACAACAGTTCAGGGATCTCCTCTCAACAATGACTCTGTGCTTCTACAAGGCAGTTTGAAACACACACAGAAAAGCAGCCGATTTACACACTCTTCTTCCTGCTGTTCCCTTGGCACACATTTTGTGCTGACGTGACAGCCACAGGAACAGATGTCTCTTTGGCCTCTGGGAAGGCAGAGGAAACCCAGGCCACATCTGAAGCTCCTCCCCTTCTTTCCGGGCCACCTGGAACCCAGGCCATGAGTCATGTAGGACCAGTTCAGGGATATGGTCCAGGAAGGCTGCAAGGCGCGGGGGTGATGACAGTTGGAGAAAAGAATCAAAGGCGTTGGCACGGAAGGGGAAGTTGAAGGATTCTCTGGCCCAGCTCTTGGGGCATTAAATAGTATTATTGTTCCGTTTTTGTAGTGAAGGAACTGAGGCCTGGGGTGGGTGAGTGACCTGAGCGACGCAAACGCTCCATGTGTGTAGAGAAGAGAGAAGACGGTGGCAGCTCAGGCCTACTGCAATGCCCATCACTACCACCTGCTTCTGACTAAAGATATTGGTGGTGGTGATGGAGAGAGGATATTGGAGAGGATGTTGTTACCTCCGACCAGGTTAACCAGTAAAGGTGAGTGTGCATATGTGTTTGTGTGTGTGACCTGCTCTTCAATGTTCAACTTCAGAGGTCCACTTCTGCAGGATACCACTGCTGCTGTCACACCTAATGATAATAATAATGGTAATAACAAAGGCTAACAAAGTGACTGAGCACTTACTATGTGCCAGACATGGTGCTCAGTGCATTACACAGATTATCACATTTAATCCTCTCAGAGGTTGTTCTTATTATTCTTACCCCATTCCATAGCTGAAGAAAACAAAAGATAAGTTTAGGAACCTACCCACAGATGTACACTAGAGTCTTGGTTAGATTGGGTTGCTATGACAAATACCATAGACAGGGTGGCTTATAAAACAGAAATGTATCTCTCACAGTTCTGAAGACTGAAAGTCCAAAATTAGGGTGCTAGCAGATGGGGTTCTGAGCCGCTCTTCTGAGCTTCAGCAGATGGGGGTCCTGAACCCCTCTTCTGAACTTCAGCACATGGGGTCCTGAGTCCCTCTTCTGAGCTCCTGCAGATGGGTCCTGAGCCACTCTTCTGAGCTTCAGCATATGGGGTCCTGAGCCCCTCTTCTGTGCTTCAGCAGATGGCTTCTGAGCTTCTTGCTGGACCTCTTGCTGTGTCCTCACATGGTGGAGAGAGAGAGATAGATCATCTCTTTTGTGTATTTTAGGGCACTAATCCCATTTGTGAGGGGTTCACCCTTATGACCTAATCACCTCCCAAAGGCCCCACCTCTAAATACCATTACATTGGGGAATGCATGCATTCAGTCCACAGCAGTTCCTAGATTCACAGGACCAGAATTTGCATGTGGGGTAGTCATTAGGATTGTTCACAAATTCTTTCTTTCCCTCTCTTTTGCAGGTTAGAATTTTCTGTCTCAGTTGAATTAAAGCATGACTATGGGACTTTGGCCAATAAAATGTGAGTGGAAGTGTCACGGCTGTCCAGAAGTTTTAGGAAGCAAGTTATGCTCTGCCATGTTCTCTTTTGCCTTGGTCACAGTGACTGGCAATAACCTAGGTGATGTGCTGTCAACCCGGGTCCTAGGGGGAGGAGGATGATGGGGTTGAACAGAGCCCTCAGCTGACCCTCAAGATTGCATAGTGAAAAATAAACCTTTGTGTTTGTAAGCCACTGAAGTTCTAGGACTGTTCACTATCACAGCAACAGGGCTCAGCCCATTTTGATTGAATTGGAGTGAGGCTTTTCTAGCACAAAGTGAAACTCAAACTCCATACTTTGCCATCTCCTCAGTTTCTCCACCTGTCCTAGATATTCCCCCAGTGGCCTCGAGTAGCATTCTACTATGGCATCAGTTACTTTGCATATCCAGTCTTCTTTCATTCATGTGACCAAGCCCAATGGGGCACACTTCTATGTCTTTGGGGTTTAAGCATCTAACACAGAGCCTAGGACACAGGACATGCTAAGCACATGCTCACTGAATAGATTCCTGTAGGAGAAGGATTCTGGCACTGCAGTGTTTCCCTGCAGGATAAACTCCAAGTGGCCCAGAAGGTCAGCCCACCTCGGACCCCACATTTTTGTCAGATGACACAGGAGACTTGTTGTTTCCAGTATCCTCATGCCTGGGGACTCAGCCGGGTGGGTTGGCACCCAGGGTGTCTGCCCAGCTGGCTAGCAGAATTTGTTTCACCCTGTGCAGACCTCAGCAGTAAATCAGCAGGTGTGAGGAATTTACCCCAGAGAGTGATCCAGCAGTGGCATGAATGAGTAATTTACAAAGCCCATTAAGGCGGCACAGAATTACTTATTTATGGGAACTTTTTGACAGATCTGCGGCTTAATCATTTATCCCTGTGAACATTTAGCCAGGGTCATTGGTAAATAATTCACTTATTACACACTCTGGAGTGGTTTATGGTACTGTGACTTATGATCTCACATGAGTTCGCAGCCGGGGAATTGGAATGTGAAGGCCGGGGAGGGGAGGGGGAGGTGGAGGCCTCTGGATGCAGGCCCCAGTAGAAGGGCCGTTTGCTCTAAGTCAGCTTGATATTACAGCACAGGAGGATTTTAGTCCCCAGTCTAACCTTTGGGAGACAGTGAGGGGAGGAAATAGGTATTAAGAGAATGGTCTGAAAATGCTAGGTCTTAGCTCCAGGCAGAGTGAGGACAGACTCCAGTTTCACTAGCTCTCAAGGGCCTAATGGGGAAATCTGAATGCCCCAGCCTGACATTCAAGATCCTCCAAGAACTGTCCCCATTCCTTTCCAGTCTTATCACTATTACTTATCTCAGCAGCAGCCACGCGGGCTGAGATCTAGCATACCTCCCCCTTCTCCAAGCATTTGCTCATGGCATTCCTCCTGCCTGCCTGCCCTTCTCTTCTTATTGTCTAACTGCTACTTAATATTCAGCTTTCAGCTCAAAGCCCATCTCCTGCATGAAGCCTTCTTACACTACTTCAGCTATGTTCACCACCTCCATGAAGTTCTTGAAAACTTGCAAAGTGCCATGCACACATGAAGCACATTACACATGCCATTGATTAGCCAGCTCCCCTGGCTAGACCAGGTGTTCCTTTAGCACCAGGACTCAGATCCCAATGAACATGGTCCCATGAAAGCCAGCCCAGAGCCTGTCCCACCGTGAGTTAAATGAACATGGGAACCCAAAGACAGTGGAAGTAGGTGGTCACATCTCTAAGGTTCTTCAAGATTCTAACTGATACCATAAGTGAAGAGAGGCACTTATGTTGGGATGAAGGAGGAGTGTATTGGGCCTGTTCACCAGAGAGGAGTCAAGTTGAAGGGGTAAGGAAATCCAGGTGCAAGCACCAAGCCTCACCCTCTTATTGAAGATCCACCCCAAGTCACACTTGTCTTGCCCATAGCCTTTCAGGAAGACCCCACAGATTCCAAATGTGTTTCCCAGACCTCTAGTTTAAGAAGATTAGCTTGACTTCTTAAGGTTGAGGCCAGTTAAATAAGGTCTTCTACCCTTGTATCAACACCAATTGTTGCCCAGATGGTAGAAAGATTTAGTAAGATGGCTTCCTTTTCCCACTGGAGTTTTTAGGTCTCCAATGGGAAGACACGGGAGATAATTTACTGTCTTGCCCACCAGAAAATCCTTCATAAAGTCTAGTCTCAAGCAGTTTTGCTATAACGGTCAAGAAGAAGCATAGGATATTGAGGAACTTGTGTTCCAGGAATGGAAAGCCTGGGCTTGCCTGAGATGAGTTGGGAGATGAGAAAAGATAGAAGTAAGGTCGTTCCTAAGCACAGTGCTCTGTTCTTCCCTGGGTCTTAGGGAATTTTGAACAAGTTTCTAATCACTGTCTAGAGTGGTCAGAGCCATATGGTTTGTTACCATATTCGCATGTTTTTATGTGCTCCCATAACAACCATGTCAAGTAGGTATTCTTGTGAGCTTCTCTTACTGACTGAATTGTGTCCTCCCTGAATCCATATGTTGAAGCCTTAGCCCCCAGTGTGACTATTTGGAGACACAGCCTTTAAAAGGTAATTAAGGTGAACCCAGCTCATAGGGGTAGAGCCTTAATCCTTACAGAACTGGCGTCCTTATAAGAAGAGAATAGACATCAGATCTCTCTCTCTCTCTCTCTCTCTCTCTCTCTCTCTCTCTCTCTCTGTCTCACACATACACACACACACGCACACACTCCTTCTTTTGCTTTTCATGCGTTCAAAGGAAAGGCCATGTGACGACATAGCAGGAAGGCAGCTGCCTGCAACCCAGGAAGAGAGGAGTCAGAAACTAACATGCTGGTACCCTAATCTTGGACTTCCAGCCTTCAGAACTATAAGGAAATAAGTTTCTGTTGTTTAAGCCACCTGGCCTATGGCGTTCTGTTACTGCAGCCCAAGCTGATGAGACAGCTTCCTTTTGCAGGTGAGAAAATTAAGGCTCACAGCAGAGAAATGGCTTGTCCAAAGTCATCCAAATAACATGTGGAAGGATTTGAAATGAGGACTGGATGCTAGCATGGATGGACCAGATCCTGCAGACTCCATCCCAGGATGGAACTCGGAGTCTAGACCCTGCGTCTGGCAGTCTCCATGCTAGCTCTCCTGCTGTGGGTTCCTGTTACAGCTTCTCCCTCAGCTCTGCGCTCCCACTCCAAACATCCTACACTTTGGGTTGCTTCTCTCCTTCTGTCCGCTCAGTGCACCTCAGGTTTTGTGGTTCTGTGGTGTGGTGCTGCCATCTGGTGGTGGGAGGCACTAGCTGCCCTAACTGCCAGGGAAAGATTTTCTATTTTATTTTATTTTATTTATTTTTTGAGACAGAGCCTCCCTCTGTCGCCCAGGCTGGAGTGCAGTGGCGCGATCTCGGCTCACTGCAACTTCTGCTTCCGGGTTCAAGCGATTCACCAACCTCAGCCTCCTCAGTAGCTGGGAGTACAGGTGCACACCACCACACCTGGCTAATTTTTGTAATTTTAGTAGAGATGGGGTTTCACCATGTTGGTCAGGCTGGTCTTCAACTCCCGAGCTCAAAAGATTGCCCACCTCAGCCTCCCAAAGTGCTGGGGTTACAGGCGTGAGCCACAACCCGGCCCGGGATTTCCTTTACTATCTCTCTCTCTTACTTTCACATACCATCCACCTCTCCCTCCTAAGTCCAATCCCTTTCACTCTCTCCTGTAGGCAGGTGGCTAATATGATAGGCTCCTGGAGGAAAAATAAAATAAAATAAAAGGAAGCAGGTACAGAGAACTACCTTTAGTTTGAGAAGAAAATGGATTACAAAAGAGAAAAGACGGTTGATTCTCAAGGGGTGAAGTCCCCACAGAGTGCCAAACCAGACCTTTCCAGCCTAGGTCAGAGAGCTGGGGGAGGTCTGAGGCAGTGGGCATGGTGCCCTTTGGCTTTGATCACAAACAGAAGCACCGAAGACCTCCCTGCATGTCCTATGGAGGTGGCAGGAGCTCCTGGAAAGCCTGTAGGAAGAGGCTACTAGGAATAAAATTCTATCTGTCTATCTATCTATCTATCTATCTATCTATCTATCTATCTATCTATGAATGAGACAGCACTCTGTCACCCAGGCAGGAGTGTAGTGGCACAATCACAGCTCACTGCAGGCTCGACCTCCCGGGATCATGCCATTATCCTGCCTTAGTCCCATGAGTACCTGGGACTATAGGTGTCATGCCTGGCTAATATAAAAAATATTTTTGTAGAGATAGGGTTTTGTTATGTAACCCAGGCTGGTCTTGAACTCCTGGGCTAAGGTGATTCTCCTGCCTTGGCTTCCCAAAGTGCTGGGACTGTAGGCATGAGCCATCATGCCCAGCCTACTGTCCCTTTATTCCAGAGAATGAGGGTGATCTTACTGACTGGTTTCTGTTAGTTACTCTCCCATAGTGACATGTGCAGTAAATAATCCCACCTCATTTGACAGATGGGGAAACTGAGTCTCAGAGTGGTTTATCAATCCACAGATTAGTGTGGATGAATGATATCATACTTTGGGGGTGTGGCTATTGAGCCAGGAATGTACTTCAAGGGCATCTGAAAGTTCTGACTCATCTCATGCCAGAGTGTGAAATATTAAAGTCAGTGCTTAGGAGGGATCTCACTTTCTTCTCTCCACACAAGCCCTAGCTTCAGTGTCTCTCTGTGAGGTCACCCAGAGTCTGGTTCATATGGCTAAGAGCCATATATTACAGGCACAGCCACAGTCGGCATCTGGCTTCTGCTCTCCGGTGTCACCAAGGCTCGAGGCAGGAGAAGCAGATGGGTGAACGGGAGCCAGGAGAAGGGTGCAGAGAGGGGGAATGGCCAAGGGGACCGAGCATAAAGGAAGGGAAGGTCATATAGAAGGGGAAAAGTACAGACATAAAATACAAAGATCAGAGGACTTTGACTTTGCAGTTACCAAGCTGTGTGTCTTCAGGGAATTCTTCTTCGTCTGTAAAGTGGGCATAATACAGTCATGCCTGCCTCACACATCTATTTTGAAAATTAAGTGAGATAACATGAGTGAAACCACCAGTCCCAGTGTTCAACTCACAGTCAACCCTAGTAAGTATTTGTTGAATCTGAAACCATGAAAGGGAGAGGGCTGATTCATTCTACCCTCATGTCCTGGTACTGCTGACCTGTATTAACATGAATATGCTGGCAGCCACTCGTCACATGCACCC